TGTGGACTAAGGGGTACAGGGGAATGCATAGAGGGTACAGAAAGAGTAAAAAGGAAAAGCAAAAATCATCAGGCATCACACTAAAACCAGCATCRGAATGGGGCTGGGATGTTCCTTCAGCCCCAGAGCCTCTGTGGGTGCCTGGGATCCCACAGAATTCCAGCTTCATCCCAAACCTGTTGGGGCTCAGCTCCTGCCCCCAGGGATTGGGATTGYTCCAGAGCTCGGCCCAGGTGAGCCAAATGTTCAGACTCCAGGAAAAACCTAAAACCCGGGACACCCAGAGAGTCTGGATGCTCTAAAACACAATCCAAGATCCTCGTGTCCCAAAAAAACGAGGGGTCCCCAGTCAGGTTCCAGCCAGGGGGGAAGGGCCACTGTCAGAACTGACCCCAGGGTCTGGAAAATGTTACCCAGCAGGATCAGCACTGTGGAAATGCTGGGATTTATCTAAATTCCAGCAATTCCAACAATTCCAATGCCTGATGGAGGAATATGAATATTCCTTGTGGGAAACTGAGGCACGGGGAGGAAGGAGCTGCCTCCCAGAACAACCGCCCAGGGAGATTGATCTGCTCTAAAATGAGATTATTCCTTGTGTAAGGCAATTTTAGCCCAGTTTTTTGGGGGATCAGGCCCTGCTCCAGGATTTCCAGCTGATTTCCTGTCAGTCCCACAAAAAGCTGCATTTTTTAACCCCCAATTCATGTAAAAATCTCATCCCCAACCTCCCATCGGATTCGATGACATCAGGTGCAGGCACAATCCCAGGGGGAAGGAAAATGAGGAAAACTTCCCTTGTTGGAAAGAATCAGGAGAAAATCCCACTCTCATTTCTCATCAATAAATAACCAGTTTGGGGTTTTTATTCACCAAATGCTCCAATATTCCCAAAACCCACAAATTTTCTCACCCGCTCCAAGATTAACAAAGAAATTCACACATTAAACACAGGTGGGATGAAATCCCCCAATCATCCAAACTTTTTGGGGCTTTTTGGGGGTATTTCTGTGTTATCCCGGAGCCAGGGAAAGGAAACAAGGAGCACAATTTCTGCTCCAAAAGGACCTGAGCTCAAAGGGAAGAACAAAGGACAGGGAGGAGAAGGAATTCCTGGTGCAAGGCA